CACTATCTACACTTCTCCACTTGGTGACATAGCCAGAGCTCACGACTTCTCCTTCCACTTCTATGCAAATGACTCGAAACTGTGCCTGTCCTTTGAATCTCTCGATCAACTACCTGTTGAGGACACCTATTCTGCTCAGAGGTGCATTGAACATATCAAAAGCTGGATGAATAACCATTTCCTCAAGCTGAATGAGGACAAGACTGAGTTGTTGGCCATGGCTCCCAAGCGGATTGCACCAACTTTGAGTCTGCCTCAGTTCTCCAGCCACGGAACCACGTAATCTTGGAGTGATCCTTGATTCCCACATCACCCATGACAAGCCTACTGAATCTCATTGTATAGATGTGGAACTCAAAGCGCTTTACAGAAGTGCTTATTTGATTTTAGTGCTAAATGTATGTATGTATGAATGTATGTGTGTGTGTGTGTGTGTGTGTGTGTGTGTGTGTGTGCGCGCGCGCGTGCGTGCATGAATGTACGTGTGTGGGTGGTGGGGTGCGCGTGCATGTGCGTGCATGCATGCATATTTTTTTAGAATTTTTCAGTTTGATCTATTTTTTGTTGATCTTCAAATACACACGTATTGATATTTCTAAAGAAAGCGACTTTTAATCTTGGTGCTGTCCACACAAAGTAGGTGAAATGTTCGAGAGTATACACCTTTCTGTGAAAAAGGGGGTGCAATATGGCCCTGGGACCCTATCCACAAGGCTAGGGTTTTGTTCGTAATTTTGTTCTAAATATATTTATTTGCATGTCTAACTAACATAGGAAAATTCATTCATGTGTGTGCCACCTTGACCTGCTGTGATGTCTTGTTTACAACCCGTGCCATAAATATCGCACTGCCTCTGGTTGCATTATTCGTGCGTTCTGTCTTACTCGGCGTCGCTTGTTTTCTGGCAATCTCTGTCTTATACATTAATTCCTTATTATAAATTGTCAGCTTTGCGTCTATCAATCGCATTGACGTCACACAATACGCACGTGCTTTTGTCTCCGGGCACCGTGGTTACCACGTCCATGACGTCATCGCTCCAAAATCTATAGTACTATCGTTGCCCTATGTTTAGAATCCCATTAGAACCGAAGGGCCAAATCGGTACGTCCCCATCCTCCAAGGATAGACACTTCAACACTACCGACTTGTGACTCCATAATGGCGACACAGAAGACAAACCACGTCACGGCGACCATCCTCGCCCATAGCACTGTTTCCCCTGGTCTATGCCTTTTCATTAATAACCATTTCTATAAATATATGTCCCTTATCCAGAGGTGATGTGGTCCAAGAACATCTCAGGCCGAGCCTGACAGAGACACGGTATTGATCCCCCGGTTGCTTTAACTGCCCTAACATTTCTTAGGCAACAGGGGACCTAATTATACGGCTATTTTCAGCATGAAAATCGCTGCTTGTGCAAATTAACAAAATATTTTCTTATAATTGTGACGAGATGAACTTCAAACAAAAGTCGCCACAGCGAGTCTGCCCTGTGTAGACATGAAGCGGAGAACAATAGCAAGGGCATTGGGGCCAATAATTCCCTCGAACTCCTGGGAGAGATTGTAATGTTCTCACGTCGAACTAAGGAGATTCAATGGCGACGTGAAGGACTCTAGCCTCAGACCAATGACTCGCCACACGGTTGAATATGTCGTTAATGTCCTATTCTGGAATCCAGGCAGCTGTTGCACCTTGTATTTTAAGACGTCTTGGCGTGTTTTCACCGTCTAATCACCGACTATCCCATATTCGTCGCCAAATGGAATCATTTCACATTGATCACGTTTAACTGGAAACACCGTGAACATCAAAGCCGTTGGTTAATTAACAAGAAATATTGTTTTCCTCACGAAGCATTTGTGTAACAATTAAATAATGATCCAAGCCTATCGCACCAGCATTCTCCCGTGATAATACAGTAAAACAATTGTGTCTTGAAATAACGAACAATAATGTTCCCGTGTATGTAGTTTTATTACACTGTAAATCATCCCCTGCATGGTATATTCGTCATAACGGCTAAACAGTGTAAAACGCTAACTAGTTTCAGTGACCATTAAATCCATTACAGTCAGTGGGTTGGTCCTACAACACCTTAAAGAATATCGGGTATATATATACCAGGGCGAGAGAGTCTTCGAAACTTGGGAATGATGACCTTTTGTTTTCGTCGACGTTTCATATAACCATATGGAATGCATGATGGGTAAATCGAACCTATCACTCAGCCTTTTAGTCTATCTCAACGTCCAGGAACCGCATTATTTTCCATTCTGCCTAACCTTCTCTGCAATGCTAAAGCCCTAAACGAAGCAAGTCTGGATTCCCATCTCACTGGGGCTCCGTTTCAGTTTTAAAAGGAATTGTTTGAATCTATCAAAATTATATATATTCAGGATGAAGCGTTATTCCGTCTTTGGGACAGTGGGGTAGCCTAGTGGTTAAAGCGTTTGCTCGTCAAGTCGAGGACCCGGGTTCGATTCCCCACATGGGTGCAATGTGTGAAGCCCATTCCTGGTGTCACCTGCCGTGTTAGTGCTGGAATATTGCTATACGCGGCGTAAAACTAAACTCACTCTATCAGTCTTCATGTCAAGTTACCCAGTCTGTTCCTCTAAGGATTATTATGAATTGTACAATCTCATTAGGATCAGCTATTTGACTCCCATGCGGTATCTTTCAGTCTGATTTCCGTCACGCAGAGTGGTATCGAATGACAATCAATACCTAGTTTTTAGTCCAGCGTAAGACTTACGGAGGAATGGAGAAACGTTCATCCAGTGTGGTTCCTTGAGAGTACTTGTTAACCTCTTATGCCGATTGACCCGTGAAGATCCGCGTTAGAATTGATCTTCATTCACCCATGCTTGTCGTAAGAGGCGCTAACGGGATCGGGTGGTCAGGCTCGCTGACTTGGTTGACACATTGCTTAGATCGATGCTCATGCTGTTGATCACTGGATTGTCTGGTCCAGACTCGATTAATTACAGACCGCCGTCATATTGCTGAGCGCAGCGTAAAACTAAACTCACTCACTCGTATGCCGATTAATGGTACTGTTTTATGATAAGTAGGTACAGTACACCCTCCAAAAATAGTCCCTATACCAGCCCTCTTCAGATATATCTTTCAGACAGTTTTAGCGGGAACTTCTCCTTACATGATCGTATTGATCAGGTGTGATAAATAGGCAGACTCTGCGAGCTTCAGTAGACTGACTAGTTCAACCCCACTTTGCAGCAACTGGAAGCTGAACAAACATGTCAGTTTCTGTAATTCAACTAGTTTACTTAATGTCCTCGAAAGAAAGTAATCGGGTAAATATCAAGCCATAGTTACCTTAACCAACCGACACTTTGTTTTTTGACCACCTGGTCATTTAAGACTCGAGAGCACATCATACATCATCATTAAAGACATGGGCTTTGTACACCCGTCAACCGGAATAACATAACCAGTTTAGGTGGTCCCCGTGTGGATCGAAACATTCCATCAGAAGAATTAATTTTCAAGAAATCTGAGAATAGTCTATTGAATGATAAGATGAAAGAATCCGGCTGCGAACGTCGCTTTTCGGGAAAGATCGTAGCGTTCTTCATTAAAAACTGTTGAAAGAGTTATAACCTTTTCTGATCGGAACAGTCTGATTGTATTGTATTTGTAAACCACGATGTAAACGTTTTATCGATTATATATTGTCTTCGATATGTGTTCAACTTTCATCAATAAAATGAATTTCATGACTGTTTATTCAGAGAGGGGACAATGTAAATTGTTTTACATTGTCTTACTCAGCAATGTGGCGGCGGTCTGTACATAATCGAGTCTGGACAAGATCCCGTTACAAACAGCATGAGCATCGAACTCCGATGGCATGTGTTGCCGTGAAATGTGATTCATTTATCATGAGAGACATCCGACTGAACCAAAATACAACTACTTTTGAAAACTTCAAACTCTTATCAATGAGTGCCATTTCCTCTCTTATAAACATATATGCAGATAAACGTGCGCTTCATAATTCAGTAGTTTTGATTTTATTCGAAAAATATCCCGACAGTGAGTGAATGATTGTACGCCGCTTTGAACACTTTTCCAGCTTTGTGAGGTGAGGTGAGGTGAGGTGAGGTGAAGTGAAGTGAGGTGAAATTGGGTTTAACGTCGTGCTTGAGAATATTTCGCTCATATGACGACGTGCATGCGTGTGTATGTGTATGTGCGGCTGCTTGTACTAGCCCAGACTTAAGCTGGTTTTATAGTGCTAGCTCACTGAGATGCCATGCAGCAGTGAATCATGAATACCCGACTCAGACACATTATACTGACTCCGAGCCGACCAGTCCTTGTTGTACCCATTAATGCCGAGCGCCAGGCAGGGACCAACAAGTACCATATTTTAACGTCTTTTGGTATGACGCGGTCGGGGATCGAACCTGCAACCTTCCGCTCTCCGGGCGGACGCTCTAACCACTACACCACGGAGGCGGTTCCAGCTTTGTAACATAAGGAAACACTGAAAAATGGTCTTCCTGCAAATGAATCGGGGAATCGAAGCAAAAGCTGGTCTTTGGGGCTATCTCCTCAAACTCTTCCTACCACGACCGCTTACCCCACGTATTAAAAATAAACTGAGATCGATCCCAAATTCTGAGTTAAAAACACAGCTGAGTTTTGACTGAGTTTGTTTTGAGAAACGCAACTCAAAATCTCAAACTCAGTAATAAATTTGAGTAAAGACTTAAGTTTGTTTCGAAAATCGGAGCTTTACATTGAGTGAGGTCTTTTGTTTTGTGTTATGTGGTTATAGTACGATAAGACGTGAAGCTAATGAGTGAAAAAATACCCCAACACTTCAGACAAAGATACATGACTGATTTTGATGACGCATTCATCGGTCGAGATGTGATATTTTACGAACGACTCTTTCAGTAATCCGCTTCATTCCAAGGGAGATTACTCTAATTTGTGACTTCACCGATTGCAACAACAATGCTGGAATTTCAGCAGTCGCTTTTCTTTGAGGGTGCAACGTTTTGATGTCGACTGTGATCGAATATCAGAATGTCATCCCCTATAGCATTGATATCTCTGCCGTGTCCCCCATCTGCTCTGTCCCCAGGAGTGCGGCGGTTGTTGTGTGAGGGCGAGGCAGCCATTTCAGGAGGCCCCGAGTCTGTGAAGGCGGGTGTTTTAAACTGGGATCACATACACAAGATACTGCCTGGTGAGTATGTCTACAGTTGTACAGTTAGGTAGCCTGGCTGCGACTATATACCCTCACGGTACATCAACCTGTTATGTTATTCGTTAATGCCCATTTGTTCAATGTTTGCAATTGTCAACATGGTGGAACCTTATTTTCCTCTACTGGCTACCGAACAGTTATCGCCGCGTAACAGTTATCCCAAACACATCAGTATCACGCGTGCGCAGTTCCGGTCAATTACAATTCCAGTATTTGTTCCCACGGTATTTGACAACAATAAAGAACAGCAAAAGAAAGTTATTCACGGTAAGTAACATTAGAGAAAAAGTAAAGATAAGGTTATGAACCCTATAAATATTTTTTAACTTAGTTGGGGGTGATGTCACAAGATCTATATAATATAGTATTAGTTCAAGTTCACGAATGTCATTGTTTCGTTCCCTATCAATCTACTGTAAAAACAACCACTCAACTAGACACACAATCAATTATTCACGGTTACTTTATGACATGAATGTATATCATTTCACAAATGACATGAGAAATTCTGTATTGGCGATAACTGTTACAGTTAGTTGTGAGAAAACATCTATTTATACTGCCATGATTCCCTTCTGGCACGTGATATATAAACACGATCGGCGTCAGTGAATGGGCTAGACATATCGGTGAACAGCTAATTAAGTATCATAATTAATTCTGTTTAATTGAAAACTATGATTTTTTTTAACTTAGTTGGGGGGGGTGATGTCACAAGATCTATATAATATAGCATTAGTTCAAGTTCACGAAAGTCATTGTTTCATTCCCTATCAATCTACTGTAAAAACAACCACTCAACTAGACACACAATCAATTATTCACGGTTACTTTATGACATGAATGTATATCATTTCACAAATGACATGAGAAATTCTGTATTGGCGATAACTGTTACAGTTAGTTGTGAGAAAACATCTATTTATACTGCCATGATTCCCTTCTGGCGCGTGATATATGAACACGATCGGCGTCAGTGAATGGGCTAGACATATCGATGAACAGCTAATTAGTATCATAATTAATTCTGTTTAATTAATTTAATGAATGGCGGAGTAACTTTGTAAATATGGCTTTATATGGCAATAACTGTTCGGTAGCCAGTATATAGTGCGCTGGGCTCAAAAGCGGACCGATGAATTGCAATCTATCTCAAAAACTAATAAACATATAATACTCATTGAAACGCTGATCATAATCAAAATATCAGACCAACTCTGTGATTTGTTTGCAGAATTTATGTCCTAAAATTAAAAAAGTTGTTTAACAAACTATCATTAAAATGTTGACACAGTTCACTATTTGTTACGAGGGAGGAGTGCAGAGAAAGGGACAGCCAGGTGTTAGAGAAGCACGTGCACAAGTGCCGACAAAGTTATTGATTCATTGACCTGTCTTGGCCGTCTCCATCCTTTCTCGCACACCCGGCTGTCCCTTTCTCTGCACTCCTCCCTCGTAACAAATAGTGAACTGTGTCGATATTTGAATGATAGTTTGTTAAACAACTTTTTTATTTTTAGGACATAAATTCTGCAAACACCTCTCAGAGTTGGTCTGACGTTTTCATTATGATCAGTGTTTCATTGAGTATTTTATGTTTATAAGTTTTCGAGTTAGATTGCAATTCATCTGTCCGCTTTTGAGCCAAACGGACTATAGCTGTCTTCACAATACAAAACGTTGTGGACTAGGGGTACAGGTACAAGTTGCAAGGAGTGAAAGAAAACCTGTGCTTCCCTGTAATTATACTTAATGCATGATGTCATAACAGATTACATTAGCTACATAAAGTCATATGGAAAAATCAGGTATTCCTAGCCAGTGTGTGAAATAATTTCCAAATTTTGCTAGTCCTGAAAGTTACTAGCCCACAAAATAATTCACTAGCCTGAAATTTGAATGTAGTAACTAAGCAAAAGATTACAAAATGTAGATGAGAATAAGATCTTGTCTGCATGACACAGGTTTCATAATTAAGCTTCCAATATGATGAACATTTTTCTCAGGCCAGTGACTGGAGATTTACTGGCCCGACTGGATTTTTACTAGTCATGGACTAGCAGGCCAGTGGTTATTTCACACACTTTTCTTAGCTTCTTTTGTGTAGTATAGATCATGGACCAATGCATATCTTCTTCAGAGTGGGTGAATGACACAAGCCAGTACTTTCATGAGGCTGCCTCCAGACTGGTGCCTGTGTTCCTGCAGTGTGAGGAGTTGTTGTGTGGTATGACCAGTAGGGAGTTTGCACAGAGATATGACCATCTCCTTCAATGGACTGGGAATTCACAGGTACGCTGGGTTATATTATCAGTTAGTGTATCTAACAAGATTTACAGAAGTTTATGTCAGAGCTAAAAATTCCTTGGGCTCTACAAGACCAAAGAATAGCATTCCAAACACAGATTCTGCATGAGGTATATTACATATATACTACTCACACTTTGCTAAGGATCACAGAAATTCACAACTTTACTTAAACATAGATTTATCATTTGAAATTGTATCCATTTAAAACTAGATAAATAATAATATGGTAACTCCTCATTAGGCAAACAGCCACTCTAATCTAACCTTATGCACTTGTAAGTTGATACATGAGTAATCATAAAAATGGTTTTCATGGCACCAATCAACCATTTTGCAAATCATGGAACGAGTCATGGATAAATAAACAACACATGTCAATAGCAGGTATGGGATCCACAAGATGCAATGACATACTGAAACCTAGGATCCATGGTTACAATCAGCTTAGGTATTTAAATCAAATGTCACCCCACATAATAGTTTTCTGTTGAATCCATGATTTGATCCTTAGCAAAGTGTGAATAGTATAGTCATATATGGTAAAAAGCAAAATGATAGTACTATGTAAGCTCCACACAGTAGCATGCACACAGTGGTAAAAAAACAGAGAACATGTATATAAAATGTCTGTATATCTGTTATCTACAATTCGTAACAGTTCCTAAACAGATGTACTTTTAGTTTTGTCTTGAACACATTGTGTGCTGATATCTTGATGTCATCTGGGACGTTGTTCCATCTAATGGCTGCTGCTGTCAGAAGGAGCAGGATTTACGATTATAATATGGCTAAGATGTCATGAATTCGACTTGATCATAATGGTTGGTCTGTCATCTCATTACCGATGCTTATACCTTATGTCATTATGGACATTTGAATTTGTGCCACTACATCTTTTACCTCCAACATGAGCACCTGAGGCAGCTCCATTCCAACTCGGGTTCAATGCTAACATCTGAGCTGACATGGCATGACCAAAGCATACTGTTGAACCTCAACCTCATTATTGGCGTCAACCTCATTATTTGTGTCACCCTCATTATTTGTGTCAACCTCATTATTTGCGTCACCATCATTATTTGCATCACCATCATTATTTGTGTCACCCTCATTATTTGGCGTCAACCTCATTATTTGACTTTAACATTCCAGCTCTTCCTCGAGTGTTTCCAGTACCTCAGTCAGGGCAGTGACAGTGACCGCCTGCTTGCTCTGCTTATGATGGCATCAGCATTAGAGAGGGCACTAGGAGATGTAGGTGATCCGACAGTCTGATTATCTGATACAGGACTAGTATATGAACACACATACATCAGCTTGGATCATGTCAATGATAATTGCTAAGAGTTTGAAACTCATGTTTATTCCAAAAATGACATTTGGTCTATCAGCATTGTATCTATGGTTTAGTCTACCTAACAGTCCTTGAACCACATTATTTTCCCTCCCACTCAGCCATTTGTGCACTGCAAAATCTCTAGATGAAGCAAATCTAGATTTCCTCAGGTTGTGAATCTCAGAGCTAATTTGGCTCCTTTCAATTTAAATAGTATTTGTTTGTATCAGAATTGTATATAGTCAGAGGGGGCGGTGGGGTAGCCTAGTGGTTAAAGCGTTGGCTTGTCATGCCGAAGACCCGGGTTCGAATCCCCACATGGGTACAATGTGTAAAGCCCATTTCTGGTGTCCCCGCCGTGATGTTGCTGGAATACTGCTAAAAGTGGTGTAAAACCAAACTCAGTCAGTCAGTCAGTATATAGTCAGAGACTAAGTGTTAGTTGATCTATGTTTGATTAGTGGTCGTAACATTTCCGATTCCCATGATGAGATTCGAGCTGTTCGTCTTCTGATCTGAGATGGGCAATTTGTCACATGACCAAAGCGGTTAAACCGGTCGGCAGGCTGATGAGGTGAGGAGGTGCCCTATGGGATCACTACACGTCCTGCTACATACTCCCCTGTCAACAGGAGACATGTACAAGGCAGCATGTTAGAGTGCAGACCTTAATTTGGATCTGATCATGTATGAATATGGTCAACTTCGTGTTGATGCCAATGTAATGACACAAAATAAAATTGTCCTATGGAATTTGGAACACTGACTGACCCATCGTCAAATGCCTTGTGACCAAAGCAGTGAACCCAATCAATAATTTCTCAAGGTAACGGGTTAGAGTTAATGGTGTCGTATGTACAATAATTCAGAATGACTCCATGCCCAGCTATATTTACGTGTTTCATGAATAATGTATATGTCTTTCACTCCTGTCAAGGCGACAACCCTTTGCAGCCAAAACTACTTGTCATGTAATCCCTTTGATACAAAGCTGGGGCGGTGGGGTAGCCTAGTGGTAAAAGCGTCTGATCGTCGTACTGAAAACCCAGGTTTGATTCCACACATGAGTACAATGTGTGAAGCCCATTTCTGGTGTCCCCCAGCGTGATATTGCTGGAATATTGCTAAAAGCTCCGTAAAAACCATGCTCACTCACTCTGATACAAAGCCATGGATCATGGCCTTGTGTGCATCGATGCACCCTGGACCTGTGAAAGCATGGTTGAACAATGTCACGGCAGTCTTTCTGTTCGTTCCAGGTGTTCCTGCTGAAGGGCCAGCAGTGTCCATCAATGCTGAAGGATCTCCTTGTGACCCCTGAACTGCAGGACATCTTTGGGGAAATTGTTGTGAGTTGGCTCATGAGGCTGTTGAGAGATAACACTATAGACTGGCTCCCTTCACACTTGCTTTTGAACGTTACCACCTTTCTCCATCATGAATATAGTGTAGCTGTACAACTCAGTGTTTCCAGGTGTTCAGCACAGTGACATTCAGTCAACCAAGTCTGAACACCTCTTACGACATGTGAGGGGGGGTGGGGTAACCTAGGGGTTAAGGAGTTCGCTCGTCACATCGAAAACCAAGGTTTGATTCCCTACATGGATACAATGTGTGAAGCCTATTTCTGGTGTCCCCCGCTGTCATACTGCTGGAATATTGCTAAAAGTGGGGTCAAAACTAAACTAACTCATTCTTACTACATGTATAGATTTATAGGGCCCGAATCTTGGGTGTTTAATGGCCTGGTTTGTCAAAATGCAGAAACTGGACCTGCTTCACTTATGTAATATTATTACAGCTCTGATTGTGTTGAACTCATTGTCTGGTCTTAGCAAACTGTTACTACGATTTCAACCCACATGTGTTGAACTGGATACTTTGCGTTGCCATTGTCTAGATCTCACGAGTTAAAACAAAAGAGCTGAAATTAATCTCTATCCAGATAGTGAAATTTTGTAAAAGATGCATGACATTTTATGCAAGTACCAGAAAATAGCACTTTTCAAGATTTTGAGATGCTAGTAGTTCTGTATATATGATCTATAAATGAGAATGATCTTCACCTAGATTCAGATTCTGAGGGTGGTGATAGGACCACCCATCTCCCTCAACATCAGGAACGTGGCATGGCATGGATTCCCAGCACCAGGGGAGATTCAGGACAGGTACGAGCCTTGCCTACCTAGAGCATCACAGTCTCATAGATGCTGAAGTTACTTCCTGTCAACCTTCTACATACACATCTGTCATAATGTTGCACCCTTCTACGTACAGATATATCATAATGTTGCACCCTTCTACGTACAGATATATCATAATGTTGCACCCTTCTATGTACAGATATGTAATAATGTTGCATTCCTTCTACGTACAGATATATCATAATGTTGCACCCTTCTACGTACAGATATATCATAATGTTGCACCCTTCTACATACAGATATATCATAATGTTCCATCCTTGTAAGTACATATCTGCCATAATCTCCCTTCCTTGCACATATAGATCTGTCGTAATGTCCTACGCTTCCACCTGAGTGAGTGAGTGGGTTCGGGTGGGCGAGCAAGCCTGGTCTGAGATGCATATTGGTTCAGGGTGTGTAATACGTCATTGGTTTTGCCACCACTTGATGTTGACATAACCTTTGGTTTGTCAGAATTGTACCCAAGGTTGATGGTGTCTGAAATAGTGGAGTTTTATCTACAACCACCATCACATTACACACTACGGTGACATTGGAGTGAACAAGTGTCAGTATACCTATAGAATACCGGATACCTACCAGCCATATTGTTTAGTGTCATGTCACCCTAATCCTAACCCTAACCCTAACCCTAACCCTAAACCTAAACCTAAACCTAAACCTTACCTAACCTAACCCTAACCCTGAACCTAAACCTAAACCTAAACCTAAACCTTACCTAACCTAACCTAACCTAACCTAACCCTAACCCTAACCTAACCCTAAACCTAACCTAAGCCTAAACCTAACCTTTACCAAACCCTAAACCTAAACCTAACCTAACCTAACCTAACCTAACCTAACCTAACCTAACCTAACCTAACCTAACCTAACCTAACCTAACCTAACCTAACCTAACCTAACCTAACCTAACCTAACCTAACCTAACCTAACCTAACCTAAACCTAAACCTAAACCTTACCCTTACCCTTACCCAAACATGGCGGAAGGTATCCAGTATTCTGTAGTCTTACCCAAATGTCATCCCCTAACCCAACCCAACCCAACCCAACCCAACCCAGCCCTACCCTGCCCTACCCCCTACCCTACCCTACCCTACCCTGCCCTACCCTACCCTGCCCTACTCCCTACCCTACCCTGCCCTACCCTACCCTACCCCCTACCCTACCCTCCCCTACCCTACCCTACCCTACCCTTGCCCTGCCCTACCCTCCCCTTACCCTTACCTGGCGGAAGGTATCCAGTATTCTGTAGTCTTACCCAAATGTTATAAGAGTGAGAGAGTGAGTTTAATTTGACGCCGCTTTCAGCAATATTCCGGCAATATCACGGCAGGGGACACCAGAAATGGGCTTCACACAATGTGCCCATGTGGGGAATTGAACCCAGGTCTTCAGCGTGTCGAAGGAACGACTTAATCACTAGGCTACCCCACCGCCCCTAAATGTCATAAGAGACATCAACATGTATATGTACACATTAACCTTTACATACTCTACTATGTTACATATATTACAAATATCAGCTGCAACAAATGAGTTATCTCCCTCACAGCGGCCATGTTTCAGAGACTGACTGAGTAGTTTCTTGTTGCAGGTTGTGCTGGTTCCTGCTTCTCCTTGTCCCAAGTCTTGGGGAGCGTCTACAGCAGAACGGGGTGGATCCTCTCAACATCATGCACAGGACACCTGTCATAGTCAACCAGGACCAACTTCTAGCTGGCTCTCTCCCAGGTAATACCCAGACCCCAGTCTACCTCGTCCAGGTAATACCCAGACCCCAATCTACCTCATCCAGGTAATACCCAGACCCCAGTCTACCTCGTCCAGGTAGTACCCAGACCACAATCTACCTCATCCAGGTAATACCCAGACCCCAGTCTACCTCACCCAGGTAATACCCAGACCCCAGTCTACCTCGTCCAGGTAATACCCAGACCCCAGTCTACCTCGTCCAGGTAATACCCAGACCCCAGTCAACCTCGTCCAGGTAATGCCCAGACCCCAGTCTACCTGTCAGGTAGTACCCAGATAATACCCAGACCCCAGTCTACCTCGTCCAGGTAATACCCAGACCCCAGTCTACCTCGTCCAGGTAATGCCCAGACCCCAGTCTACCTCGTCCAGGTAATACCCAGACCCCAGTCTACCTTGTCCAGGTAATGCCCAGACCCAGACCTCCCCAATCTGTCTCACCTCGTCCAGGTAATACCCAGACCCCAGTCTACCTCGTCCAGGTAATACCCAGACCCCAGTCTATCCTTGTCCAGGTAATACCCAGACCCCAGTCTACCTCGTCCAGGTAATACCCAGACCCCAGTCATACCTCGTCCAGGTAATGCCCAGACCCCAGTCTACCTCGTCCAGGTAATACCCAGACCCCAGTCTACCTCGTCCAGGTAATACCCAGACCCCAATCTACCTCGTCCAGGTAATACCCAGACCCCAATCTACCTCATCCAGGTAATACCCAGACCCCAATCTGCCTCACCCAGGTAATACCCAGACCCCAGTCTACCTCGTCCAGGTAATACCCAGACCTCCACCACAGTCAAACATATCAGCTTTTTGATGTTCCTATCTCAGAAATTTAGATTGTTACTGCTGGGTGTGCATATACAGAAGGTAATTGATTATGTATCCATCTTGTTTAGATGATTTTTTAACGGTTTAGTAGCATACAGCACACATCATTTACCATCTCAATTTTTCAGCACTTAGCACAGATGACCTCATCTCTATAGAGCAGTTATTCACCAGCACAGACTTTGTCCAGCAACAGTTTGTTCCTGTGTGGCACAGATCACTGGATCTCTACAGGGAGGCCAGGTATAAACATATACACATATCTCTATACAACTACATACATGTCTATCATATTGTCCCTCCTTCTACATGCAGATCTATTATGTCAGAACATGCTTTTAACAAACTCATCGATATAACTAATGTTTTCTTTTTGTCCCAACAACAGTTATAACAAACTGAAGAGTAGTTTACTGTATCCAAGTGTTAACCATCCGTAATTTGTTTCCCCGTGACACAGGTCACATGGTTTCAGTGATTGATTGTATTGAGCAACTGTCAGTATTTTAGCAATATCACTGCTGCCTATGTATACTCCTGTTTTTGTAAACCAGTGGTTGACAGTATGGGCAATGATCAGTCTGTATTCACAGCCACCATTTTTGCACCTGTCCGCAGATATGGACAAAGCCTTGTCCTCCTTCTCCCCCAGGTGGAACACAGCCTCAGGCGAGTGTTTGCTGCCATCAATGGCTGCCCAGACAGGGTCCTTACAGCAGAGGTAGAACTCATACCCTTTCCTTGTGCTCTTACATCTATCTATACATCTTCTTCCAGTTTTCTGGGTTGTAGGGGGCTGCTATGGTCGAGGATGGTTGCAGGTGGTAACAGGTGGCTCAGTGTTGACAATTACTAATGATGATTTTATGATGTGTTTTTTTCATTGGGAAATGTTCTTATTTTCCCTTATCCTTACCTTATTGAAGCTCCCTTCAATAAAACATAAGTAAAATCACTACTCACCAGAGTAGCACTCTAAGGCACTCGGAAGGAAGACTTCGCCCATCCTCGGATACGCGGAATCGGACGACCAGCATTCGCGAAGACGCCGCGAAGGACTAGTCGCCTATCCCCAGATCTTGGACTCAGATGATCAGTATTTGAAGGCACTCGCGAAGGGCTAGCAGATACAGTATCTAAGACATCTTCCGCGATCATGCAGATCGCCGAGGGATTCACCGAGTATTCATGAACTCCACAGCCTCATCTCCGCCAAGAGGTCACCCTACAGACGCAGTTCGCCGGGCCACTCTCCACGCCGATCACCATGCAGATCTCGGCGCAGATCTCAGCGCGCTCGAAGGTCTCCCACGGAGTGTCGCCCCGCGAAGTCTCCGCCAAGCAGGTCTCCACACACAGATTCCCTCGCGAAGGTCTCCACCTAGATCACCATTGGAGAGAGGATCAACGCCCCTTTACTCAGCACTCCTGTCACTGAGGACGACAGGGCGGGATCATCTTCGGACTCTGAAATACGCTTACTGGATGGCTAACGGTCTAGACTTGGCGCCACCCTCTAAGGACGATAATACGGCTCATACCTATCTCATGCAGGATGATGATGTCGACATCGAATATCTCCTCCGATGGATCCCATCGCAGCCGGTCCCAGACAACTTGGACACAGCCTTCAAGAAAGCCACGAAAGCCCAGGCACCGCGATCTCGCCACAGTTCAACGCCAAAAGTTCTCTTCCCACAACATGGATCCGTTCCTGAAGGCACAGGACATCGATGAGAACTTTAAAGTCATCAGTGATGCCAAGGCCAAGTCTTACAAAATCGGAAGACAAGAAGTTGGCACAAGTCGTAACTTCTATGACCAGGCGGATGTTCTTCGGCCTCAACAGATCAAGGGCAGTCAACGAAACGCCATCGCTAAATTCGAGACTCTACTGCGGAAGAAGACAGGATGATATACTCGGCCCTCCTTATGCAGAAGAAGGACCAACAGTTTATGACAGACCACCTCTCATCCATCTCCGCAGCGCTAACACTGGCTCGTCGACAAGGTCTCCTCGCCTCCTGCAGTTGGAGTGAGCGCTTCACCAAGTCACTCTACACAGCCCCGTGGTCAACTCCTTCCATCTTCGCTTGAGAGATCGACGAGGTTGCCAAGGAAGTTACCAAAGACTCTAGAGAGGTCCTCATGATCAGATCCATAGATACTCTGGCCAGCGTCATCAGGCAGATATCCCAGCGCTACTCGGGCAGGTCCAAGTTTCCCGGGATACAGAAAGCACGGGACAAGAAAGTGGGTACCTCCAGAGGCGGAAAAGATTCTTTTCGTCGCCCAGCCGGCAATTACAGAGCAAGGTCCGGACGAGGCAGGGCACCCAGAGGCGCCAGGGATCATCGACGATGAAAGATGGGTTCGGACGACTGGAGTCTTCCACCCCCAGCCGTTCCTGTACAACCTTCACAAGTGGGTGGACGTCTTCAGCTGTACTGGGAAAACTGGGGACTACTTCAAGATCCGTTTGTATCCAGCATCCTAAGAGACGGATATCGCATACAACTACAGGCCGCTCCGCCGCTTACAGTCGACCCTCACAAGTTCCAGACTTCCAGACCCATCAGATAGATAAGTTACGAGAGGCGGTCGCATCTCTACTAGTAAAGCGAGCCATAGAGGTCGTGGATCAAGCCAACATCACACCAGGTTTCTACTCCCCAGTTTTCCTAGTGCCAAAGAAAAACTCCAAAGAAAAGTTCCGACTCATCTACAATATGAGCACGTTCAACAGAGACTATCTGAGCAGACCTCCCAAGTTCTGCATGATACATCTACCTCAACTTATCCACCTCGTCCGTCGATGGACTACATGGCCAGCATAGATCTACAGGATGCCTACCTGCATATTCCTGTACATCCAGACTCGAGGAAGTACCTCAGGTTTACACTGGATGGGCTACATTACCAATGGAAGGTCCTGCCATTTGGAATATCATCGGCCCCCTGGTTGTTTACAAGGGTGACAAAACCCATAGTCACTTATCTACATCATCGAGGTCTACGCAGAGCCTTCTACCTCGACGACGGGATTGAAGTACATCAAGATCCCAAGCATCTCAGACTACAGTTTAACTTCACCATCAAACTGCTTACACAGCTGGGGTGGTTAGTGAATCTACTCAAGTCGGACCTAGAACCTACACAGGACCTGCAGTTCCTAGGCATCAGATTTCTCATGACGCGAGAACCGCATCGCCATTATTCAGAGGACCGATGGCTCAAGATTCAACAGACAATCTCACAAGCCCTACTCTCTCAAGTGGCCACTACGACAATGGCAGAGTCTGTTGGGTCTCCTCACGTCCGCACAAGACATGACAGCCAGAGGGAGATTACAGCTACGCCTGCTACAGGTCCTCATCAATGCTCATCTCGACGACCCAGACCCCTTCGGTCTCCTGGACTACCATCTACTATGGTGGACCCAGAGATCGAATGTCTGCGAAGACATCTATTTAGCAGAGCCGGAGTGCAAGACTCATCTGTATGTGGACTCATCACTCCAAGGTTGGGGAGCACACCTCGACGACGATGTGGCGGCCGGGAAATGGACCAAGGAAGAGAAAAGTCTGCACATCAACATGCTGGAAATGAAAGCAGTCGTCAACGCCATACTCCACTGGAGCAACATTCTACAGAATGCGCATCTCATGGTACACACGGACAACTCCACAGTGGCGTTCTACATAAACAAGCAAGGATCAACACGATCATTGAACCTGCTGGACCTCTGCTTTCAACTGTTCGACCTAATCGACGATCTGAACATCCACATAAGAGCATGCCAAATTCCAGGAGCCAAGAATGTCATAGCAGACGCCCTCTCCCGTCCAACTCAACCATCTCCAACGGAATGGATGCTACATCCCGAGATCTTCAAACAGATCATCAAGGAGATGGGAGCCCCTCTAATAGACCTCTTCGCCACACGCTTCAACAATCAGCTGACAACATTCGTCTCTCCAGTACCAGATCCACTTTGCGTGGGCAGCGGACGCGGCTCTCAGCATATCCTGGGAAGGACTAAGCGTCGCGGCTTCCACCGCCAGCTAGTACCGAGGGTGTTGCAGAAAATCAGCCAGACCAAGAACCTCCAACTGATTTTGGTCGCGCCTTACTGGCCAGCGAGAGTGTGGTTCCCCATTCTCATACAAGAACTAGGACCACCACAGCTGCAACTACCAGAGTGGCCGCATCTACTAGTACATCCTCACACAAAGCAGGCGCACGGCAACCCAGGGGCGTTCCACCTACACGTGTGGACTGTATCAAGGCGTGCTTGAACAAGAGAGGGTACTCCGCCAGAGCAGCGAAAGCAGTGACACTAGCTCTACGCAAGTCTACACGCAACTTGTACGACGACAAGTGGCGAAGCTTCGAGACATACGCTGCAAGGAACGGGTTCTCAGCTAGAGCGGACTACCTTTGTAACCTACAGCAAACAAAACGGCTAAAAGGGTCTACACTCTCAACATACCTAGCGGCATTGAGCTCAGTCATCACTATGAGGACAAGTACCAAGCTAACGAAAGTACCAGAGTTACTGGCCTTGCTACGCTCTTATAAATTGGAGGACCAACAACAGAGATTCAAAGCTCCGGGGTGGGACCTCAACGTTGTTCTACGACATCTCACCAGTGAAGTCTACGAACCATTAGAGACGACATCCTTCAAATTCTTGACACAAAAGACGCTGTTCCTTATAACCCTAGCAACAGCAGCCAGGATGTCGGAAATACATACTCTAGACTACGAGAGAACACGCTTTGATGAAAATCAAAACACAGTGCATATGGGACTACGATGGGATTTCATCGCAAAGAATCAACTGCCAGGTCAACCGGACAGACAATTCCACGTCCCAGCATTATCCTCCGTCCTTGGACCACAAGATACGCAGCATGACTTATCCTTGTGCCCAGTGAGAGCATTACAAAGTATATCTACAGCGATCCAGAACTAGGAGGCGCCAAGTTCAAAGCGACTTTTTAGTCCGATATCGACAGCGACACAGACGGAGGTCTCACGACTCACGATATCAATCTGGATCAGAACTGTCATACTACGGGCCTACAAAGCAGCAGGACTTGATCCTCCAAGAGCCTCCAACCCACACGAAGTTAGAGCTCTGGCGTCAACACTCAAGCTCTACATGGGAATTGCTCGCTCAAGGCGATAATGGAGGGCTGCTTCTGGAAATCAGACATGGTGTTTGCAAACCACTACTTGAGAAATATAAGCCACCGAGGGACGTCTCAGGCATTCACCATTTCGGCCCACTGGTTGTAGCACAACAGTTGACAGTTCCTCAAAGGCGTTGAGGCGAAGTCTCGCTCTTTTATCACATGACTTACCAAGCCTACATTCAGCAGAGTTCTGCTTAAGTCTCAATGCTGCGTCTAGCGACTAGCATAAGTGATATGACCCAGTACTTGTAAGATTACTCGTACAGGAAAGGGTCGCTTCTCCACTTGATGCTTGCATCAAGAGATGGAGTCGCAAAATCCACATAAAATGTTAACAGAAGAAAGGACCAAAAGTTAACAATTGTGGTCCCCCCGTCAAAAGGCAGCTGGAAGGACAGGGTCGCAAACAGCAGCAGAGCTTAGCAGTAAATTCAGTGCCAATACGAAGTTCCCATAGGGGGGTATATATTGACGTAAATCACTACATGAAATCCTAAAGTATTTTTTCCCGCCTCCAATCCGTCGCATTCTACAAGCAATAAGCATGAGTCAGGATAAGGAAAAATATGTAAATTTCTGAATAAATTTGATATTTTATACTTATCCTGACTCATGAGGTAAGACCTCCCAACCTCCCCACTAGACACTTTGGATTTCCTGCAAATTCAAGTGTTGGGCTCATAATCAGGAGAGAGTGAAGCGTGGGAGAACAGTGGCGCCACTTTTCCGCCAAAGCGGAAACAGGGATAACTCTGGTGAGTAGTGATTTTTCATTATGTTTTATTGAAGGAGCTTCAATAAGGAGATACAAGTGTTCCACTAGGTTAGCAAGAGGAGGAAGACAAGCAATAAGCATGAGCCAGGATAAGTATAAAATATCAAATTTATTCAGAAATTTACATTATCATCCACTTTAGACTAAGGTGGCCCATTTGTCTGAGGCACTGCGCTGTACACTATTTGTTACGAGGGAGGAGTGCAGAGAAAGGGACAGCCAGGTGTTCGAGAATGGATGGAGACGGCACAACACAGGTTAATGAATAAATAACTTTGTCTGTGAACGTGCTTCTCGAACACCTGGCTGTCCCTTTCTCTGCACTCCTCCCTTGTAACAAACAGTGAACTGTGTCAATATTTTAATGATAGATTGTTAAACAACTTTTTTATTTTTAGGACAAAAATTCTGAAAAAAACTCACAGAGTGGGTATGATGTTTTGATTATGATCAGCGTTTCATTGAGTATGTTATGTGTATTAGTTTTTTAGTTAGATTGCAATTCATCTGTCCGCTTTTGAGCCAAACGGACTGTACCATGTTATTTATTGACAGGCCACCACCCTGTATACAACTTTTGATGAGGTAAGTCAATATTGAGTCTTCTCAATCATTAGCCTGAAGAAACTGTTCATCGTTCGCATCTTCTCTCAGCATTACTGAATGATCAAAAAGAGCATTTTATCTGTGGTTTTATAGGAAAATTTTGAAGTATTCTCTTTGCTGTCTAAAGTAAAAGAAACTCTTTTATCAGGACAAATTGTCTAAGGCACTGCAGACTTGTGTCACTCCCCTCACCTGGAGAAATGGTGAGCAGAATCAACTTCTAATCTACTTTACTTTAAGTGTAGTTTTAAGCAACACCAATGCAGAGTTATGCAGCTTTGTTATGCCAGGAGCTGCTGGTTGTGGGTTCAAATCACAGTGTTTTCCTGATCACTATTCATCAGCATTTGCTCTTCCTTATAGATATTGGACAAGTACCTCCCGTCTCAAGCTGAAAATGGACTGCTAAATGTGATAGGGGAAAACAGCATGGTGAGTAGGCAGATGGACACAGCTGTGCTTGTTGGCTCTGTGTGCACCCTAGTTCAATATTAGGTACGCATTAAATTAAATTAATTAATGGTCAAGAATCCAACAAATAAGGATCCTGGGTTAAAATTAATCTTCAGCAACCCATGCTTGTTGCAAGAGGCGACACTGGTTTAGTGGTAAGGCTTGCTAACTTGTTTGTAATTGTACTTGCATAGATCGATATTCATGATGTTGATCACTGGTTTGTCTGGCCAGACTCTAGTATTTACAGACAGCTGTCATTTGTCAGAAATATTGCTAAATGTGACATTAAACCACAAAGTAACGTATGAGTCATTCTTGGAAGATCAAAGGATCTTCTGTTTGATGTATGATCTTCCAAGTGATGTAGTTTATACATCTACATGGTCTTGTATCTCCACAGGATCTTTTGTTTGATCTTCTGGTCTACCCTGATGGTCCGAGGTTGCGAGACAGACTCAGTCATGGGGAGATAACTCTTGACACCTTACCTCAAGCACTGGCCGATGCTGTGATTCATCTGACAGTACACTTGTCAGCTCTTTTGTTCCGCGCAAGAAAAGTGATATATGTGAGGTAGGAAAATAGTACGACATGTTGGTTACTGTAGTGTCTTGTAAATAAGACCAAAATAAGCGAAATGAAAAGTGATAATTTATATCTATTATTGAATCATAAATTAGAGAACTTTGAGCATGCAAGAGTTTGGTGAGGTGAGGTGAAATTGGGTTTAACGTCATGCTTGAGAATATTTTGCTCATATGACGACGTGCATGCGTGTGTATGTGTATGTGCGGCTGCTTGTACTAGCCCAGACTGAAGCTGGTTTTATAGTGCTAGCTCACTGAGATACCATGCCGCAGTGAAGCATGAATACCCGACTCAGACACATTATACTGAGCCGACCAGTCCTTGCTGTACCCAATAATGCCGAGCGCCAGGCTAGGACCAACGAGTACCATGTTTTAACGTCTTTTGGTATGACGCGGTCGGGGATCGAACCCGCGACCTTTCGCTCTCCAGGCGGACGCTCTAACCACTTGCAAGACTTTGGTCCTGATCCAGAAAGTAATCATACCTGTATAACTGTCATATGTCTGTTATAGTAAGATTGTTATGGCTGTCTTTGCACAAAGATTGCTTTCAGTAACAGGGCCCAGGAGATTGGGAGGAGACAATTTCTCAAATTTTCCAGCTTTCCAATACAGTACCTACATGCAACTACTTACACATATATACCAGTGAACATCCGGGTTAGAATTGGTCTTCAGTAACCCATGCTTGTTGTACGAAGTGACTAACAGGTTGAGGAGGTCAGGCTTGCTGACTTGGTTGACACATGTCATCATGTCCCAGTTGCGTAGATTGATGCTCATGCTGTTGATCACTGGAGTGTCTGGTCCGTACTGGATTATTTACAGACCGTTGCCATATAGATGGAATATTGCTGACAGCAGCTTTAAACAACAAACAAACTTCGACATTTTTACAAATTCACTTGTGCAATTTGTAGTAGAATGTGTAAATGTGTGGTTTATAGTTTATTGGTACCACACCGGTTTTAGGTTTTACATTTTTTTTTTTTCAGGATCCCCATATAGCCAGCATACAGAGAAGAGTCTCCCAGTATCAGTCAATATTTCATCCAATACCAATGGCTAAAACAAAGGTAAGTTGTCTGAAGTCACCATTCTACATCTAGTTTAGAACACAAAACACAACTTCAGCTGCAATATTCTTTGTAGTTTTCTAAGGATGGTATTGTGGCAGAGTGCTTTGTGTTGGCTCATCACGTCTAACAATACACCTTGATGTCCTGATGGGTCCATTTATGGTGCCTCATGATCAGATTTTGGCAGGAATGTTGATAGCAATAAGCCCTTGTCGAAAGAGGTCGAAAGAGGCCACTATCGGGATTGGGTGGTCTGGCTTGCTGACATGGTTGACACATGTCATCGTATCCAATTGCGTAGATTGATGCTCATGCTGTTGATCACTGGATTGTCTGGTCCATACTCGCTTATTTACAGACTGCCACCATATAGCTGGAATGTTGCTGAGTGTGGCAGTAAACAACAAACCAACCAACCAATCATAACAATGGTATGTTGTTGGTTATTTAATGCTGCACTTGTCATAATTCTGCCTCTATGATGGAAGTATGGAAACTCAGATCCTGTGTTTTGCTGTTATCCAGGTGTTGGATCTGGTGGCTCTGTCAGGTGTGATGGTCACCTGGATTGGTCACTCCCCTCTCCTGGAGCCATGGTGAGAAGAATCAACTGCTAATCTACCTTTACTTTGTACTTTACTCCAAAGTTTGATGCAACTCCATTGCAGAGTTATGCAGCTTTGTCATGTCAGGATCTGCTTCTCAATACCTGTTTCAGTATTGCCTACATATAATCTCATCAAAATCCTATCTTTTAGTCAGATACAATGCCTCTATGGGTGGAGATCTGAAGAAATTTCTACAGGTCATGTCAGGTGAACTTTCAAGCAGTCATCACAGGGGCTTCCAGGTTCCTGGTCTGAGCAAATGAAATATTCAGACAAAAATATCTGAATTCTACATGTCTCAAATATGAGCTGAAACATCTTTACCTGAATTTTCATAATGAAGGCTGTGCCATGTTGATGAGCACAATTGGGGGTGGTGGGGTAGCCTAGTGGTTAAAGTGTTTGCTCATCACACCGAAGGCCCGGTTTTGATTCCCCACATGGGTACAATGTGTGAAGCCCATTTTTGGTGTCCCTGGCCGTGATGTTGCTGGAATATTGCTAATTGAATAATTGAATTGCTAATTGAATAATATCTCTGATTGTAATGGGATTCTACACTAGTCTGACAATGACATGACTGAAATCTCTTTAAAGTAGTTCTAAATTGTATTCACTCACTTTAACTTGATCTGGGTGATGAAGATTACTTCGGACACAACTAATTATGTCAACAATGCCATGCACTTGTGGAACTGAACACTTTTTATAGCAATGGATAACAACATTTAAATAAAAGAAGTGATTTTACAGCATCAAGATTATTGGCTCTTCGTGAACAGGATATTCTCAGAGTGTGTCTCTCGCCATATTGGAATTTAAGAAGACTAATATATGAAATATTATGGACATTGAAAATCGATCTTGTTAGATTTGATCCTTTGGTTTTTGTTTGGTTCTCAGAGCATCAGGATTTCACAAGAATAGCTTGACATTTTAGTCATTGTATGTTTTGAATGTTTATCAATAGAATACTTTCAGTACACTGACATGTGATGAAGTGCCAGGTGCAGAAAGCAAAGATTGTTCAAGGTCTCCATGTTGGCCAATTAACAATCACTTAATTAGGTGCATGTTTTGACTGGTAACTTGAAGATAATCTCTCTGCTGTCAAACAGCCAGCTCAGTTTATCTGAAAAGTTCACTAACTTTTGAAGAGGATTTGACCTTGTTGAAGAAGTATTAACAAAGTCAAAAGTTTAAATGCAAAACCTGCTTTGTCAGCAAAGAGCAAACACAAGGTTGATGTAACAGATCAGTTGTCTAATTTCAGCAGTTTAAAAAAACGCCAATGTTGAGCAATATTGAAAAGGGAAATAACTATTTCACTTTTCATTCTCCGTGACAAAATTCATTTGACTTTTTTTATTTGAACAAATCAAGAATATTTTGAAGACACTGAATTTCAATGTTTCCTTAAAAGAAACCAAAATAGATAACGCAATTTGGTGCCACAGTATAGCATTTGGATTAACCGTTACAATGTTATACTTGCACAGGACAACAGCAGATGGGGTGGATGTGTTTGTGACAGACAATGTCCGATTGGCAGAGGTTCTGACCAATGTCCAGCGGGTAGCTGAGGGTCTGAACCGGTCCAGTCTATCTGTGCACCTCCTTTCAAATGACATGATGAGGTAGGAGTAACATGAATACTAGACAGTGCATGTGATAGTCAACTAGTTTTACATGACGTCACTTACTGTTTCTTGCTGTTGTTACCAAAAGATTTAACCTTGCTAAATATATATTTGTATGCCCATCACCATTTTATTATGACATGTTTAAATGCAAACTATATGATGTTAGCAAAAATATTTAGTTATAAACTTCCATGGCGATACAGCTGTTAAATAAGCTGTATTAATCAGGGGTGGTTACTGTGTTTTGTAACCTCAGATTTGGCCAATCAGAATTCAGTATTTTCAAAACAGTGGCAGAAGTCATGTCATTCATGATATCAATCATCACTTTGTTTTGTTGTCAAGGTAGATGATGTTTGTTGACATGTTATGTAAGTACTGTCAGATTACCATGATATAACTTCCAGCATCCTAGTTCCAGTTTTGCCCTGATGTTAAAACCCTTCATTTGACAACTTAAACCCAACTTGACGTGACATCAAACTGAATAATACCTTTGATCTACTTAGGTGCTTCACCTCGGTATTTAACTGAAATGCAGTAAACTATAGAGAATACTAAACTATGTCACATGTAATACCACATTTATGAAATGAGTAAATGGTTTGGTATTTAACGAGTGAAAACAAGTTAGATACCAATACCATTCATGAGTTTCATAAATATTGTTTTTATTACTCAACCAACTTTAGCAAAATAATATCGAGCAAAGTACTTCTTTTCTAAGAATTCAACGAGTGTGATGACTCTCAGCTTTCTGCCAGTCAAGCAAGGTCTAATACTATTGTGACAGTGGTATTAGCATTGTGATGTCATAACTGTAAATCACTTTGACATCATACGTACGGCATCACGCAATGTTATTACACAATGTGTAATAACATTGTAAAACTATTAAACAGTGATATCTTCAACGGGTGAGTAATAAATGGTTATAACAAACTCACACTGACCACTAGCTTTAGTTTAGTTTAACCATATCTTGTCACACGCATTTCAACTATATAATATACAGCAAGATGGTGTGTATTCAGGGTTGCTTTACAGATGGGATATATGAATTAGCATCGATATTTGAAGGTTTATACAAGGGGTTGCCTTATATGTATAGTGGTAGCTTTATAGACATTGATATACCATATTCCTGTACATTGGAGGAGGTGAGAGTACTGAGTGTGTGACACTGTGGTTTGCTCCAGCTGCGTGACCCCCTTCACGGATGCAGGAAGTCTGGTACAGCACATCCTCCTCTCCCCCATCTCCACAGTGTACCGGGGACAGACGGCCACAAACCAGGTACCACACAGTCAACCACACTTTCTTCAGCAGCAAGACTGAGTCCTGGATAATGGACTTCTTTAGAAGTTTAGTTCATCTCACTCTCTCATTACAGCTAAATGAAGAATCTTATCTCATACACTTCCTTAAGTGTATTCTGGTCATTCAGGACGGTGGGGTAGCCTCGTGGTTCGATTCCCCACATGAGTACTATGTGTGAAGCTCATTTCTGGTGTACCCAGCTGTGATATTGCTTGAATACTGCTAAAAGCGGCGTAAAACTAAACTCACTCACTCACTCTGGCATTCAGGGTTGAGTCTGGTGGTTCAATGGGACGTTCCCTCTTCACACAGAAGACTGGGGTTCGATTCCAATAATGTTAACAATGTGTGAATGGAATATTACTAAGGATTAAAAAAACTATTATGACCCAGTAATTAGCTGCAGCAGAGACCATATAGTATATTGTCTGTGACTGCAGATACATCCAGTAGAGGTTTAGTATTATGTGCTTCTAGAATGCCATTCCATTACAGTTGTATATGTTACAAGCATGATGAACACCTATGGTGGTAAAAGAATCAGTTTGTGCCCTACACATGCAGAGATAGGTGTTTAGAGGCAGAGGAACTATTCTCCATCGAGGTTATTAAAGGCCATATTTTAAGAATATCCCTCAGAATAATTCTTTTAACCCTTCTCAGACTCTATTTTGGTTTGTGCAGTTTTACTTAGGCCCTGTTTGTTTTTATGCATCCAATGATGGTGAAGACACTGCAGACGTACACATTAAGGTGAAGGTCGCCAGGACATGAGTAAATAAATGTGGTCAATATGGGGAATTGTGATACATGAACAATGGGGATAATTGGATAGACAACTTCTTTATTACTATATATGTGAAGTTTTGGTGTAGATTCTAACAAGTGAGTGAGTTTGGGTTTACACTGCTTTTAGTAATATTCCAGCAATACCATTATGGGGGACACCAGAAATGGGCTTCACACATTGGCTTTATTACTATAAGTAGGAAGCAGTTTGGTTTTACATGCTTTAACCGTTAGGCTACCCCACCCACACCTATCAAGCAAGTGACAACACCAGTACACCAAAATGTCACACAGAACTATCCCCCTTGTTCATCACACCAACTTCTAAATGCCACTAAAAAACATTGTGATACATGTCATACTACACTTACCCAAAACTGTGTAAGATTTCTCACATTTCCCTGAGCCTGTCTTACGACACTCCCAAATTCGCCCCCTTCTGTTCTGCCCCTCCCATAATATATGAATGGTCCGTGATGTCAGACCCTAACCCAGGGGCGTAGATCCCTGCATTCAGTATCCCAGTGTATGCACATCCCTCCTCATCCCGATGCAGATGCTGTTGTCAGGAGAATTAGTTTAAACCAACTGCAGGAACTGCTTGTTTGGATCGGGAGAAACAGAAGAGACAAATTCGAAATAAATGAGTATTTTAGGAAAGAGAAGCATCCATATTCAGTAAAAATTGCAGTCTCAATGAAGAAAATGTTTCTATGATTAAGCAAGAATTTTGTAGAATGCAATGCAGACACTTAGAATCTGCTTTAAGTTGTGAGCTGCTCATTGCATTACGGGGTGTTGATATTTGGGACTACAGTCAACAGGATCCTCTCCCATTTTGCTGTTCCCCTGCAGCACCCTGGTTGATGCAAACAGGATATATCGGAAGTGTGGTAACCGCAGATCTTGCCAATGTAAAACGAAAACCTTGTTAGGCAGAGCTCATGCTAAAAACTACTGGCAAGGAGAGAGGGGTTTTGGCACAGGATGGTTTTTCGTGAAAAACAAGGTTTTAGCTGTGAGAGGATCCACAGGAATTCGAGTGTTGTCACCTTTTTGTGAGCTCAATTTTTCAAAAAGTAATTGTTTGAATGTTTAACCAGATAATTGTTTTTGCCCATTATGTTACAAAAATGGAATTTGTTGCTCCTGAGCTGATATTTACTTACCGGTACTGAATAATCAACATCTCAGCTGTGATATTAATAGGAAAATGCTGTGGGATAAGAAAGAAAGTACTTAAAAAAGAGAAAAAACACCATTATTTTTTTCCATTTTGTTTATTTGGATGTTTAGTTACCAAATATGATGTATACTTTTTCATCCGTTATGTTACAATCCATATGTTGGTTTCTTTAAGTGGCATTTAGAAGCTGGCGTGATGAAGAGGAACACTTTTTATGGATGGACAACTTCTTTATTGCAATAAATGAGATGTTTTGGTGTAGATCTCCACCTTTTTTTAATTCAGTGTGTATGGATGACAAGTCCCAAACAGTAATGGTTTGACCATCATTGAATTATTTTTTCTCGACAGAATTCTCAGGCCAATCAAGATGGACAAGGAAAGTCGGTTGATATAAAGGAAAGTGAGATCGTTGGACTTATTTCTAGGATAATCACAGAAAAACAGGAAGTGATATCACAAATCAAGGTTGCTATGGAAACACGACAACAGCAATTAACTCGGAAACAATTACGATCACGACAAAGAGACAACTTGAAAAGATTGCTTGAAAGGTCAGTTACAATGTATACACATGAAGGTTATGCTATTAACCAATAGTTTCCATTCCACACATTTCAATTTTTACAGAAGTCAGAAATATAACTTGAAAACTACTGACCGTGACAAGAACTGATGCGCATTCACTCACAACACAGAATATTAAAGGAAAGAGAGAGATTTTATGAGCACTTCAAGTGTTGCTTATTTTGCTCTCTGTCAACAAGGCTTTGCATTATCTATAGCTGTGACAGGAAAGGTGAAATATACTATTTGAAGCTCTTTAAGTCAGGTGACCATTGCTGTTACTTTAATCAAGATGCAAAGACAAATGAGCATGTTATTGTTAAAAACAACTTCTGTGAACTTGATGGTTCCATATTATCAGCTAGTTACTTCATTTATCACACTGCTGGCTGTTACCGTCAGTATTGATAGTAAATTACATGGCAATTGGCAGCCATAACATCTACTGCCATACTTAACTATCAGTGGCAATGTGTTCCCAATTATGTTCAATATTATTATACAGCTATTACTAGAAACTATAATCTTTTATAATTTTTGAAATTTTAAGTTATTGCTAAGTATCCCTACTTTCTTGAATACTATCTATGCTTCAGACTTTTGTTCTTACACTTGGTTAAAAGATTTAGATATATATTGTTCTTGAACAAACATAAGTCTAATCCTGTATTTGTGAAGCCCATTTCTGGTGTCCCCTGCCGTGATGTTGCTGGAATATTGCTAAAAGCGGCGTAAAACCAAACTCAGTCAGTCAGTCAGTTGTAAAGACAATGCAAGAAGGTATTATCTTAGTCCTGGTTAAAGGTAATTCTTATAGGTCTACAGCAGAGGGACAATTCCTCAACCTGACCCATACCCTCATCATCAGCAAACACTGCTGTTCCTCGTCTGACGTTAATCCTCGTGACCTCTGTTTACACAACTTCAGTTGTCCTACCTGCTCTTTGTCCTTACATTAGAGATTCACTTTCCGCTTAAACATTGTTGTTTGGTTTAACTGTTTGATCAGTTGCTATGACCATGTCCATTAGATGTATAAGACGTTTGGCCGGAGTAGGCCAAAGATCTGCTGACCGACTCAGCTCCTTGACAAGGACAGTGGTCAGTGTTAGGTGTCTCAAGGTCGTGGAGAGATGGCTATCAGCATTGTTTTACTCTGCTGTTTCAACTTCAGGAAGTGTTTGTAATAGTTCACGGACCCATTCACTATTGTTTCATTGCTTATTGATTCGACAGGTTCATTTGATAAAATTTGTCAGTGGATTATGTTTGTGAACACAAACATGTATTCTTATAGCTTAATGTCCTGTCTGGAACAAACTGTTTTAGTTGTTTTGAAGAAAAAAGATTTAGTCTCATCCCATTTCAGAATAAATACAATGAACAGTGTATGTCAAGTGGTTTTTTTTGCTCACTTTCCTCCCTATTGACTGTTTTTTCTGTCTTAGATTACCCAGTTTCTTCAATCATGATTGACTACAGACCATGATCTACTATTTCGACACATATTTTGTACCAAGTTAAATCCTGTCTCCAAGCTTACCCAGTTTCTTCCTGATTGGATTCAGTCCCTGTTGTCTTATAGCTTACCCAGTTATCTGATTGAAAACACACTCATGCTGTTTTATCGCCTACCCAAATGTTTTCCTGTTTGAATTCAGTCCCTGTTTTCTTATAGCTTACCACGGGCGGTTGGGTAGCCAAGTGGTTAAAACGTTTGCCTGTCACGCCAAAGACCCAGGGTCGATTCCCTACATAGGTTCAATGTGTGAAACCCATTTCTGGTGTCCCAAGTTATGATGTTGCTGGACTATTGTTCAAAGCAGCCTAAAACCATACTCACTCACTATAGCTTACCAAGTCTTTTCCCTCATTGATTACAATCCATGTTGTCTCATAGCCTACCCATTATATTGCTGATTGACTATAGTCCCCACGGCTGTTGTCTGATAGCTTAACCATTTTTTCCTGATGGACTATAGTTAGGAGATAAACATCATGTGTTGGCGAATTTCCGGGTGTTATTGAGTATTTGAAGCACGGGAATTCATTTGGAACCGACGGCCAGCCGGAGGTTTCAAATGAAATATTCCCCGTGCTTCAAATACTCAATAACACCCGAAATTCGCCAACACATGATGTTTATCGACATTGTAAACACAAAAGTAAACCAAAAGGTCCACACACGTTTTTTGTGTCTGCTCTCATTGATATCGAGTACGGGTACAGCAGTGAAATGTCATCAGCCGGCCGTTTCGGCTGTCTCCCATGGTAGCATCTGGAACTGCTCATTTGTGACGTCATTCGGACTTTACGTCACAATATGATTTTAATGACGTCATCACAGCTGACGACCTAACAATACAATGGTGTGAGCGATGTTTGTATGTATTAATACGCAGAGAATTTCCGAGAATCAAATACCATTTGATCACGTTTTTCAACAAATCAGATTAAAGAACACAGTGACTTTTGGTTTACAATCCCTGTTGTCTCATAGTTACCAACTTTTCCCATGTCAGCCATTGTCCTTCTCGGTTTTGTGCTTACCTGGCATTTCACTGATTGATTAAGCTGCCTCACAATTAGGATTTCCAATTCTACAGCCTACCAAGTCTTCATGTGATGGCCAATGTATTGTGCATCATGGCTGCCTGTCTGTTGGCTCATCTTGATCAACTCAGCATCCTCGAGCAAACACAGATGAAGAAATTGCAAAAGTAAGAACGGAATTGGTGTCAATTGTGTTCATGTTAAGTTGGGAAATGGAAGTTCTTTGGATATATTTTTATAGAGTCTGGATCCAGTTCATGATGGTCTCCAGGTCCCATTGTATGGGGATACTAAAGCATCAGGGGCCTGATCCACAAAGCGGTCTCAACATTAGGCCAGACCAATTTTATTTCTTGTTTTACGGATCTGCTGGTCGTATTTTTTTTTTCAAGAATAAGAAAGAAAGAAAAAGTATTTTTCCCCGCTCAAAAAATAAAATCCTCATGATGTTTTTGGCCAAAAATGTAAACTTACCCCCCAAACATTTTTGATTATTTTTTGCCCCATATACACTTCATAAATTGCCAAAAATATAATACTTTTAGTATTTTAAAGGAATATTACTTTGACTGGTGATTTGTATTTTTTATTTTTTTCCTTCCTACCTTTAGGTTTTCTGATGACAACAATGTGTAAAACAAGAAATAAAATTGATCTACACTTAGGACCTATCGTAGCTCTATACATCATTGGATGACAGGCTAGATTTTGGCAGGACTGGTAACGAAAGACGTAGTGCTATGGACGCTTTGTTGATAGGGTCCCTGGTAGTCAGGCTGTGTGACTTGGTTGATCCAATCTCATCACACACATCATGCTGCTACCTAGATACCGCAGGATGTCATTCCATAGCTGTAATATTGCAGTGTCTTGTGTTAAACAATCAGACAAGAACTAACTCTGTATCGTCCACTAGGTTCCTCAAAGCCTGCCTCCAGTACACAGAGAACCTAAGGACCTTCACTGGATTAGACAGGAACAAGTGGGCTGAGTGTACAGACCTCACCATCAAGTTCCTGCCTCGTCTTGTCACTGCAGTCAACGAGAACATGTTCCTCGGGTAAGAGAATCTAGAAAAAGAAACACCTGAAAATGTGAGTGAGTGAGTATGGTTTTATGCTGCTTTTAGGAATATTCCAGCAAATTCACAGCGGGGGACACCAGAAATGAGCTTCACACATTGTACCCATGTGGGGAAAAGAATAATCACTTTTGGTGAATGAAATATGTTTCAGATATCCATGGACCAAGTGTACCCCTTATCAAACCTTGTCTTTTGAATTTAGAATAAGGCGTTATAGTGGAATGATAGATGATACAGCATTTGATATAGATATTGTGTTAGTTTTCTTGTTGCTGTGTTGATGTTTACATCTGCTTCCAACTGTTAAGTTGATGTCGCTGACATGGATGCCATATTTAAAGCCATGAGTGAGGAAATAAAATTTTGAATGGATATGGACATCCAAGTAAAAACTGGGTATTTAGTAAAAGTTTCGAATATAGTAATGAATTTGAGATAAGCCAGTTTGGAATAAGTGGGGATAAGTAAATTATTGAAATATAAAAATAAGTAAATGCTAACAATAGTAATGATGTAATATATAATAAAGTAAAGATAAATTTTGTAATATTAAATTATTTTTAATAATTTTTGAATTAGGGAATTGTGTTGGATCAAACATGATTATTTTTACCAGTGGTTGTGTATATTTTAGTACCCATGTCACAGAGATACATATTGATACAAAACTATAGCTTGCTTTTCATTCTGATCTTACCTTATATAAGGATATTGAAACAAAATGGGAACCATGTACATGTTATATATGAAGATAAAGATGACCTGTAAATTGTAATGGAACTTGACATCAACATTAATATCTTATCAATGTGTTCACATGAATAGCTATGTCTTGTTTTCATTTTCAAGACGAACATAAACATGAAAACAAGGTTGGGGAATAAATAGCCTAGCTAGGCCAGAATCTCCCCCTTTTGATATAAGAACAAGGGTGGGAAAGAAGTAGCCTTTAAAGTTGATTCAAGGGTTTTGAAACTTTGGCCTCGGGGAAGATTTGGCCAGGGGGAAAGTTTGGCCTTTTACACCACGTCTTCGGTGTGACGAGCGAATGCTTTAACCACCAGGCTACCCCACCGCCCCGAACTGAAAATGAGTTTAAAAGTTTTCACAGTTTCTACGAGTGTTAATATTGTAGAAACTGCAGAACCTGAATCGTATTCTCAAGGAACATAAGCAAGACAGCCTCTTTAGTTGAAACATTTTTTTCAGATAAACAGTCATTACTTTTCCATGCCAGTTTCACTACCTCAAAAATGAGGGTTCACCCAAACCAGGCACTGGAATATTAGTAGAAGCAGTGTAGAACTCTACTCACTACTTGCTCTCTACATACCTAGCGGCCTTGAGCTCAGCTATCACGATGAAAACGGGTATAAAACTGACCAAAGTACCAGAGATACTGGCACTACTACGCTCATTCAAGTTGGAAGACCAACAAAGGAAATTCAAGGGCGCCCGCTTGGGATCTCAATGTGGTTTTACAGCATCTTGCCAGTGAAGATTACGAGTCACTAGAAAGGACATCATATGAGAAATTAACTCATAAAACACTGTTCCTTGTAGCCCTAGCTACAGCGGCAAGGATGTCAGAAATTCATGCAATAGACTTCGAAAGAACAAGATTTGACACGCATCGTGACACAGTGCATCTGGGACTAAGATGGGATTTTATAGCAAAGAATCAACTGCCCGGTCAACCAGACAGAAACTCCATATCCCAGCACTTTCATCGATATTAGGACCACAGGATACGCAAGATCGATCCTTATGTCCAGTCAGAGCATTGAAAATATATCTATAGAGATCTAAATTGAGGAGACGAAAATTCAAGCGCCTTTTCATCCCTCTATCTACGGAGACACCTACAGAAGTCTCACGTACAACTATATCAATATGGATGAGAGCCATCATATTAAAAGCCTACAAAGCAGCAGGACTTGATCCTCCACAAACCTCCAATGCTCATGAAGTCAGAGCACTGGCATCCACACTAGCTCTGCATGGAAACTGCTCCATCTCAACAATAATGGAGGGCTGCTTTTGGAGATCGGAGACGGTATTTGCCAACCACTACCTCAGAGACATGGCTACAGGGGACGTCTCCGGCATCCACCAGTTTGGGCCCCTTGTTGTAGCACAACAATTGACGGTACCTCAAAGACACTAAGATAATCTCACCCCTTTGTCACATGACTTGTAAAAACCAACACTCAACAGAGTACGGTTTTAAAGTCCATGCGCACGTCTAGGACAGACTAAAATGAGTGATGGACCCTGTACTTGTAAGGACTTACTTGTACACGAAGTAGGGTCACTTCTCCACTTGATGCAAGCATCAAGAGATGGAGTTGCATAAATCCACACAGAATGTCAGGAGAAGATTTCCAGGATAAATCTGACAAGTTGTGGTCCCCACACTCATCAGAGGAAGCTGTAAGAAAGGACAAATGCCATTAGAAGTTCCCTAGGGGTGTATAAGGATGTAATTCAGCAGAGAATCCAGAGTGGCTTAACCCTCCACCGTTTCCGTCGGATTCTACAAGCAATTAAGCATGAGTCAGGATAAGGAAAAATATGTAAGTTTCTTATTAAAATTGATATTTTATACTTATCCTGACTCATGAGGTTAGCCCTCCCAACCTCCCCTCATGGCACTCTGGATTTTCCTGCAAATCCAAGTGTCGGGCTCGAACTTAAGGAGAGAGTGACCAACATGGCCGATCATGTGACCAACTTTCGCGCCAAAAGATGGGGGAAAGGGAGACAACTGGGGTGAGTGATTTTACATTCACTTTTTTTAAGGGAGCTTCAAAAGGGGATTCAAGTGTTCCACTATAGTTCGCAAGAAGAAGAAGACAAGCAATTAAGCTTGAGTCAGGATAAGTATAAAATATCAATTTCAATCAGAAAATTACATTTTTGGATTGTTTCTTTTTGCCCGTAAATACTTCATAAATTGCCAAAAATATAATACTTTTGGTATTAGTAAAAGGAATATTGCTTTTCATTATTTATTTTTTTCCCTCCCGCTTTTAGGTTTTCTGAGGACAAAAATCTGTAAAACAAGATATATAATTGGCCTGGCCTAATGAAGGTTCACCCAAGCCAGTCAGTGGTCCTTCAGGAACAAGCCATCATTTCATATATCATATGATAATGGTATCTGGTATGACACAGCTAGATGATCATTAGGGTTCTTTTTTTCCTTTTTTTTTAATTGCAAAAATACTGGCCATGCTTTTGCAATGACATCATGAGGTTTCTTACTTCTTTTGCGAATAACAGTAGAAGAAAATGCTCTATCAAATCAGAATAAATAAGAATAGGACCATGGGTATATCTTGGATAGTTTGTGTGATAAAATTGTAAGACATGTATTTGTTTTCATGAATTCATTATCAAAAAATGATTTACACACTTGATAAGGATATTGAGAAAATCATAATCTTTCTGCCAACAGCTATATTATAACAGTACAAGTAATAGGTTTGGTGCATCAGGAAATAAAGGCTATATTCTATGAGGGATTCACTGACTGACTGAGTTTGGTTTTACGCCGCTTTTAGCAATATTCCAGCAACATCACGTCGGGGGACACCAGATTAGGGCTTCATACATTGCACCCATGTGGGGATTCGAACCCGGGTCTATGGCGTGACGAGCCAACGCTTTAACCACTAGGTTACCCCACCGCCCCTATGAAGGATTGAATAAATCCTGAGGCACTTTAGAAGTTGGAAAAAGATGTTGACATATGATGCTTTTAACAACTTCTACTCCTTGCATCTTCATCATCCTCAAGAATTGAATGGTATAAAGCATCATTGTATAATAATGTATGCTTCAGTTATGCAATAACTCTTATATCAACCATGCTACACAAAAGAAGATAAGGATCACATGACGCTTTATAATACTACAGTTAATCTGTTGTGGCATGATGGATTAACTCAAGTAATATGATAGAATCAGATGGTCCTTAAGTTCTTTTGAGTAGTATATATTCTCATGAATCAGCACACCATTAAGGTTTAACTGGCAGTTACCATATGAAAGGGTGAGTGAGTTTGTAATTTTCAACCCCTCATCAGCAAATTTGAATTTATTTGCATCAAGTAAAACTATATGAAACACATGGTTTTCGTGTTTGATTATTTTAGCATACATCTGAATCAGTTGTATGAAAGCCTGACAACAATCTGCAAATTTATCTAACAGCATAACTGCTTTACACTGCCTCCCTTGTAAACATATGCCGATTGATTTAGGAAGTGTTTTGTGTTTTTCTGACCCCGCTGACACGTGCAGCTCAGTCCGCAAGTGACCTCCATCACCTCTAGGGGTCAAAGCGATGTTTGTTGAACATCCCCGTCTTAGATGTGGTCAGATTATAGGTACGCCACGATCACCATCTTTAATGACTCCGTGTTAATCCTTTGTCATCTGTCAATCTTCCCAGCGACGGACAAACTGAAAAACATTTTGTAGTTGAATTGTGACATGCCTAAGACAGCAGCTGTAATTCTATACAGCCATTGTTTAAACAGGAAATCTTCTGTGGATAAAATACTTGTGTAAACATATCTGGTCCAAGACAGTTTTTCACGCATAGCCCTTAGCACCATGGGAGATGTTTGACCACGTTCCTCAAACAATTAACGCTATATTTGGATAATGTAAAGGTTTGTTGGAGTTAAAAGCTTGTTAGGATTACGTTATGGTTGAGATTTAGTTGGGTCATATGAGGGCATTATTAGATAATTGATATTTTGTTGTCATTTAACATATATGTTTGATGATTAAATTAATTAGTACCGGTAAGTAATGAGTAAGCAGGGTAGGTTGCCCTGTGGAAAGTATATTGTTGATCTTGCAGTAATGTCTTCCAAGAAAAATCCCAATTATATCAGGTTCTTTTTGTGCTGATATGTCATTTATATATATATATTTTTAAACTTTATGCCAAATTTCTGTTT